TAGAATGCAAATGAAGAGACCAAAGGCCATTTCTTTCAGCTCGGATATTTATCAGCATAATTTCTAAAGCTTGTAGTAGCATATCCCAATAACGAAATGTAGGAGAAACATGACCACCCCATTCTCCAAACTCGTTCATATTTGACCCAAGGTCGTCATTCAGAGCTTTTTCTAGACTTTGAAGCATGTCAAATGTACGGCCATTACTCGTAAAACTTCCATGACACTCTGTGAGGCCTGCAAAAATGCTTTCAGGGATTTCTAAACACTTTTGTTGTCTGATCCAAACAAAGAACGAACAGATCCAAAGTGTCTTCAATGTCTCATAAAGGAGTGTGAGTCCTCTAACTGCACGGTTGAACTGTTTTCCTGAAAGCATTTGGTCTACCGTTGCAGCTGCGTACACACCGGAATCAACTAGCAGGTCGCGGAGACCACCATCTCCCGATATCTTACCTATTGATGAAATAAAACACGATAGGGTATGAAAGCCACCAAGACGTAAAATGTGTGATTTAAACTCAGAAGGTCTATCCCATTTTACCTGTTGTGCCACTGCGTACAATTGTAAATCAAAAGTTTGAATAGAAAATGGTTGACCAGCCCTCTGGCACATATCAGCACACCTCTTCATTGTTGTATACACAGTGCCCATATCGGAAGGTTTTGCGTCAATGATTGGTGGATAGCTGACAACATGATAAGTGGAACTAATATTCGAGATCTGCTTGTTGAATCCAGTCCAGAATGGAATTTGTTGTCCTTCAAACGAAGATCAACAATAGTCCTTGATAAATTTCTAAGAAGCACCCAAATAAGATCAGATGTTTCAGCATAGGGAAGTACACACGCATAAAGCTTTGAATAAACGTCACTCTTGCGGCTAGGTTCAGCTCTTTGCTTCGGCTTTGTAAAGGGAGCACATGTGGTAAGGGAAATTACTATCTCGTCTATTGGCAGGGTTTTTATGCGACCTCGAGCAACTTTTTGGTGTTCCAGATGCTCAGTTTCACCATTTATCTCCTCACATACCTGGAATACCGCTCTTGCCATTGAATGGAAAGTATCCTTTCCATCAACTGTTTCTGCATTGATGTCGACCTTATCAGCTCCTTCATGTACAGCCCTTGGATGGTGTAAACTTCCCAAAATAATGTGTATGGTGTAATGGTGTATGGCATATGGTGCAATGGTAGAAGGTGTATGGTGCTATGGTGTATGGTGTAAGGGGAATGGTGTTATGGTGTATGAGGAATGGTGTGATTGTGTAACGTGCGATCGGGAATGGTGTGAATGAATGGTGTACGACATTTCATTGGTTGAAACCGAAGTTCATTTTATTTTAATTTTTCGGATTGTAAACATAAACAATAATAATAATCCTATTGTTCTTTTTTCCCAGTAAAGCAAATTACTTTACTCGTTAGACTCTATGTCATATATATTTAATATACACATATTAAAAAATCTTTTTTTTTCCATATTCTTATTTACATTAAATAATGGCTTTAAAATTACACACTTGTGATCACATGCAGTTACCATAAAAGAAAGGATTTTATTTAAACTAGAAGGCGGATAGAAAGGTTATCCACGCATCGGAACAGTATTTTTATATCACGGGTTATCAACATCATTTTTAAAGTTGCTTCGTTCCCCACTTTTGACAGTCTCTTTATAAATATCTTATCGTCATTCACCTATGTTTGCCTTGGATTTACGATTCTGTTTTCCAAAAAATGTTCAAAGGAAAATTGTACAGTGTTATTGCACATAAGGTGTTGTATAATTATGAACAATCTCGTCAATTTCGTTAGATTTGTCTTTACGGATTATAAATGATATTGATAGAATGTGTAACTGTTTTCCGAGTGTGGCTATCAACGATGGCTGTTCCGACCTAAGGATTCTCTTAGATAGAACGATTTATTATTTGCACTTACAAGGCTGTCTGCTTTCTTTTGGTTGTCGACGTTGAGAGAGTGCGCATGTGCCGGTATTTCTGGACATCCGGATTAGGGCCAGGTTAAACCGGGAACCAGCACTACACTCCCCCCTGTTTTGTTTGAAGGGCCCCAACCAAGATCAAGAGGTGACATATCGCCATCCTGTTTGGCTGGGCCCCAACAAAATTCAATGCTCAGGGCGGTGCTGGCGCCAGTTCTAGGATTTACATCCTCTCACATCTGTCTTGAAAATTAAAAACCACCCCCCACCCATCTGATTAAGTCTGAATCCCATATTATTTCAAAAACTACCCAGCACTGAACTAAAAGGACAATGACAAGCCTTCCTGGCACACATCAAACAATAATACTGTGAAATGTCTGTATTAACAATTAACGTATTTACAATATGTACACACTGTCTATTATTATATATATAGTCCTTCCCTCTCTACACCCTTAGGCCATAAAACCTAAGGGCATTCATCCCACCCTCTTGAAGAACTCCATCCACCGTCGCTCCCTGTCTGATAGAAGCTATCCTTTTCGACACCTCTGCCAGGTACCTGGGGTGACCATACCCGGCCTGTGGAACCCAAGCGGGCCTGAAGTAAGGAGCATCTGATTCCAGAAGGAGGCGGTCCCGGGGTATCCTGGCTACCGCCAACTTCTGCTCCTCACTGAAGGCTTTCACCGATCCTGTGAATCCAAAGTGAACCCCTGGGAAATTGTCCAACCATAGTTTTGCTTGCTCCCAGCCTCCATCGAAACAATGTAGGTGGATAGGGTGACCGCTTTTTAGACTAGCCCTACACTGCCTCATACACTGAATGTGGGCCTGGGCACTATGGACATCATCCTTACCCCCTCTCACATGGAGTACCACAGGAACTCCTCCCGGTGATGCTATTGCTAGGACCCATCTTAGGGTGCTAATTTGGATCTGAGGCCGAGGGGCTCCCATAGAGAAGTCTAGACCAACCTCTCCAAGGACCCGTAATTTCCCAGCCTTGAGTAGGGTTTCAAGTCTATAGGCTCTCTCACCATCCAGTTCTCGTGCCTTCTTCGGGTGCACCCCCATAGCAACCACCCAGCTCTGGTCTTGTACCTCGAGCTCCTTGTCTGATGGCCATGTTAAGGGGTCGCAGAAATTGATGACCCCTCCTCTTACATCAACGTCATATAGTTGGCTACTTGGCAGCCTCATCTCCATGTACTGTCTAAGATTTGGCCTACCCGGAAGATTGGTTTTAGCCCAAGCCCTATCCAGGTGGAAGTGGGCGTCAACAGTAATGGGCCTGGGCCTTGACACTACGGTTTCCAACCTTGGGGAAGCTCCCCAGCTAGCAGAAGCTTGCCTGTGGCTCTTAACTGGACCAATTCTCAACTGTGACAAGAGAGGGTCCACAGGGTACATCTCACGAAGTTCTTGACCTCTCCTCTCTCCAATCCAGGACATAATTAAGATATGTACCCTCCAGTGAATTAATACCCCTGGAAATTAACGGGGACCAGAGTAAATTGAGATGGTAAAGACCATCCACCAGCAGCACATACTTCCCTCATTGGTCCCATCTCCACTTGCTCAACAATCCTTGGCCAGTTTTTCATCTGTCGATTGACCCAGGCAGCTAAACCCCAAATGTCAACTCTTCCCAAAATCATTTTTGACTGGGTCTGGAGGGCCTCAAACCGGGCTTTAACCAAAAGGTTAGATCTGAGCCCTCCCGACGGTTCCTGAAAAATTTCCACAAGATGTTCTCCCCTGATGTGTGGTTCTATATTGATGCCCCTAACATTACAACCATCTACAGGACACAATATAAACCCATCCTCCTTGTCCTTATGAGACTGGAATGCAACTGGGCTAGATGGTTTGTCTGTACGGGACAGCGCTGGACGTGGAATTGAAGGCCTACCATTTCCACAAGACTGCCCCAGGGTCCGTCTGGTTTCCGTTCTGTTTTTCTGAGACTTCTGGCTTAGCCTATTTTCTTGCATTTCTCTAAGAAATGCCCTTCGCCTTCTCTCAGCCCGTTTCCAGTTCTCTTTTGCCCTTTTCTCTGGACCCTTGGCCCTTTGCTTGCTGGAGTTAGAGCCTGCTTTGGAGGTACCACCTGCAGGTCCCACCCACTGTCCGTGTAGGGTCATGATCAACTGTTACCCAACGCTGGACAGGGGACTTGGGCCTTGATTCTGCCTGTCTGGCCGTTCCCTCTGGACCCTTGGGGATACAAACGGATTTCATCACGACCCTTCTTGGGGGTGATCTGTCTCCCTCCAAATCACTTTGAGTGTCTGTCCACTCGCTACGTGGCGAGGTCCTGGCCAAACGTGCCTCGGACCATCTTTCAGGAGCCTTGCCCCTTTTTCTTCCCCGGCTAGTCTCTTGGGGGCTTTGGGACTGTTCTCTAAAGGTCCTCTCCCTCCTACCTGAACGGTCAAGGTCTCTCCTGGAGAGTCTTTTTGTTAAGGCTGGTCGTCTGGACCCTGCCCCTCTGTGCCCTGCATCTTTGTCTTTCTTCTTCTCAGCCTGCTCCCTCCCAAACTTCAAATCATTGTTTCTTTTAGAACTCCCTTCGTCGCTTGCACTGCTCATCTTGCTTGAAGTTCTGAAAAATACAGGTGTATCCAACCTTACTCATCACTTCAAATGAGTGAGCAATTTCCCTTACCCAACCTCCCCTCCCCCTTTTTTCTCATCAACTAACCCCTCAACTCTTTTGTAGGACGCCGGTAACGTACGCTGCTACGGAGTTTAATGGGAGTTGAGGTCGCACCCTTTGTTTCCTTGGCCTCTTTGCAAGTTTGGCATAGGTATTCCCCTAGTTCTTCAGCCTCTTGCGGTGAAATACCCACACACCTCCCATGGAACCATTCTGTGCATCCATCGCACCCAACCATAAAATCCCCTATATCTGGACCCTTGCAGATGCAGTACAATTCTTCCTGAGAGCTTGCAAGGCCGGGTTTAAAATCTTCTACCCCTGACTGTGTTCCCTCTATTTTGTGAGTGAGTCTACTTATTTCAGAGCCCTCCTCACCCTTCCCTACGCCTGAATCTTGTAAAATATCTGGTGTGGGTGGATTGTCATCCCGGGTCTGTTTAGGAGTTTGTTCTGGGTTATCTAAGGTATCCTTTTCTACCCATTCGTTCCCCTGTTCCAGTCTCTTCTTTTCCTTAACCAACCAAGGAGGGAGTACCCGATCTTTACAGATCTTTAACCTATCGTGATTGGCTGTTACCAACAATTTTTTCATTTTCACCTTGTACAAGTAGGCGGAAACCTTCTGCAACACAATCCCGGGGCCCTTCCATACAGGACAGAGTTTCTTGCATTTCCCTGGGGTTGTGGCGGTATCTAATTGGTACACCAGATCCCCCACGTTGTACTGGCGTAGATTTACCCGCAAGTCATAATCCCTCTTACTCCTAAGTTGGCTAGTCTTTATGTTTTGTCTGGCAACCTCATGAGCTGCCTGCATAGCCTCGACTAATTCTGCCACATACCCATCCAAGTCTGGCGGGCTCACATCCTTGGGGGGTCTAAACATTAATTCGGCTGGGGTGTTAACTTCCCTCCCTAGCATAAGCTTATTAGCCGTAAACCTTGTTGTTCTATTAACTAATGCCCTAATTGCTCCCGCCAATTGGGCAATGTTCTCGTCCCATGCCTTTTGAGTGGTTCCCACAAAGCACCTAACTGCGGCCATTAGGGTTCGATTGAACCGCTCCACCTGCCCATTTGCACAAGGACGATATGGGGTTGTACGGGCCTTATGAATGTGCAGTACTTCACACACAGCCCTGAAGAGTTGGCTTTCAAAATTTCTACCCTGATCGGTAAAGATTTCAAACGGGTACCCAAAGCGACAGAAAAACTCATTGACCGCTGCCTTTGCAGTCACTTCGGCAGTCTGGGACGGAAGGGGGACACACTCAACCCATTTGCTAAATTGGTCTACCATCATGAGCACATTCTCATTCCCTCTCTCCGTCCTGGGGAGGGGTCCGATAAAATCCAGATGGACTCTCTCCATCGGATAACCAGAGTGGTAAAGGGTTTGGGGACACCGAGCAGACCTAGTAGCCTTCTTGTTCTGGCTACAGTGTTTACAACTTGTTACATATCTCTCAACATCTGCCCCAAGCCCGTGCCAATAGTAACTCTGTTTTATTTTTTCCCTTGTCCGCTCGGCACCTTGGTGGCCCGCGGACGGAATGTCATGGCACAACTCCAGAATCTCATTCCTCCATTCCATTGGAACAACTAAACGAGGGTTCTCCCCTTTCGTAGGAATGAGAATCACCTCTCCCCGGTCTGTCATCGTGAATCTAGACCTATTCACCCAATAAAACTTTGCATGGGGACTACTACGGAAAATTTCTCCTTGCGGCGGGTCACCCTCACCCTTCAGCACTTTTACCAACCACTTTAATTCCGGGTCCTTACCCTGACTCTCACAAATCTCATCTACTGCATATTTCCCCAAACCAACACCGTATTCATCCTGAACGACCTGAATGGACATCTTCCCTGTATCTGGAGAAACAATCACATTCCCGTCGGCCACAAGTATCATTACCCTTGAAACATGAATTTCATCCAAATCTTGACCTCGGCTACTGGCCTGGCCCTGAACCCTCCTGACTTCCGGTTTGTGTGTTACCTTGGAAGCGAGGGGCACAACATACTAGTAGTCTACATCCTCCGCGAACCCAGACCACTGCCTATGGGCCTTTGCACAGTATTTACAACCTTTACATGGGAGATCGGACAATTCTACCTCCGTAGAGAACCCCGGGCATGGTAGTTCTGTGGGGATTCTGGAAAGTCCATCAGCGTTCCCATGTTTTACACCCTGCCTGTGTTGGACTGTCATATGGTACTGGCTAAGTTCCTCCATTCACCTAGCCAATTGCCCCTCTGGGTTCTTGAACCTAAGGAGCCATGTGAGACTCGAATGATCAGTCCTCACTACGAATGGACGACCCGCCAAATAATGACGAAACTGGCGGGTGAACCTCACAATAGCCAATAGTTCCTTGCGGGTTGTACAGTAACGTTGCTGCTCTGGTGCCAGTGTTAAACTTGAATACGCCACAACCCTCTCTTCCCTTCCTGGACCTGTATCAGCTCAGCTCCCAAACTTTTATCGGAGGCATCACAGTCCAAGATAAAGGGATCCGTGCCATTCGGTAGGACCAGTACGGGTGCTGAGGTCAAGGCCATTTTCAATTTTTCGAAGGACTCTTGCTGTTCAGTTTCCCACCTGAATGGTCTTTTACCTGTGACCTCTTGGAGGGGAACAGCTATTTTTGAATATGCCTGAATAAAGGATCGATGGTAATTGGCAAAGCCCAAGAACCTCTCGATATCTTTACTATTGTTAGGGGTAGGCCAATTTTTAACATCCTCAATATAGCCTGGACCTATCTCCATACCACCTTCTCCTACTACCCTCCCTAGAAACTCCACTGTCTGTTGAAACAACTCACACTTTTTCGGTTTGAGTTTGAGCCCATATTCCCTGAATCTTTGCAACACCGCCCTCAGATTGGTGAAGTGGGCCTCTAGAGTTTGGCCTAATACCAAGATATCATCTAATAACGCCAAGACTATGTCCCACGTGAGCCCCCGTAGGACCAGATTCACAACTCTTGCGTACGTGGCCGGACTGTTACACAAACCAAACGCCATCCTGGCGAATTCAAACAGCCCGTACTTTGAAATGAACGCTGTCTTAGATCGATCTTGTTCCCGAATCTTAATCTGCCAATACGCAGAATTAGCGTCAAGTTTCGAATACCACTGGTTTCCCGCCAAAGTATCCAGACACTCCCCGATCAGGGGCAAGGGGTACACGTCCTTAACCGTACAGGAATTAACGGCTCTGTAATCAATGCACCACCTGACCCCACCATCTTTTTTTCGAACCAAGACTGGAGCAGAGCACCACTCCGACACTGAAGGTTGGATCACCCCCGCCTCGAGCATTCGCTTCAAGTGGGCTTGCTCCTCTTGAGCAAACCCCACAGGCGGTCGCCTCATTCGTTGCTTAATGGGTGGGTGGTCCCCTGTATCAATGTGGTGTTCAATGAGGGAGCAGTTGCCCAAGTCAAATTCATTGGCCGCAAAAACATCGCCAAAGTCCGACAACAGAGAAGCTAACTGCTTTTGACCATCTGTATCTAGATTGGCTTTTGACTTGTTGAATAGATCTTTCATGTGATTGGGCACACCCTCCTCAACCAATGAATTATCCTCTCCTTGAACCTTGCAAACCCAGGGGTCATTCCCTTGGGCCAACTCAATCTCCTTGCCCGGTAGTATTTCAACTTCAACCGCCCGGGCTATCATCTCATTCTCTGGGATCGTCACGTGCTTATCCGAAACATTCATCAAACAAATAATAGGGCTACGCCCCGGGGCCTGTAAAGTTCTGGGGACTAACAGTTCATCATGGGTACAGGCCTCAACCACATACCCTGACAACTCCTCACTGAGATTACATGATACCCTCATAACTGAATTCGGGGGAACAGTGACCGTCCTATCCAAGACTACATTAGCTTCCCGAGGGACTTGTCCCACCGCGCCAGATGTCATGGGGATAACTTCATCTCCAATTTTCAAATGCCCTTCTAACATATCCAATGCCACTCCCCGTTCTCTCAACAGATCAAAGCCCAAAAGCATGTCATCTGAGATGGGAGCTACATAGATATTTGCTTCCATCACTCGTGCACCCAACTGAATTTCAGTGGGTCCCACAACATATCCATTCATTTGCATACCCCTACCCGCCGTGTGCATTATGACCTCCTTAAGAACGGGTGGTACAGCCTTCAGGGACTTGTACACTTCCTCTGAAATAAGTGTCACCTCTGCAGCAGTGTCTACAACTGCAAACAAACTCTGCCCTTGAACCTTCACAGGTACCCTAAAAACTGAACCAGAACGAAGTCGACAGACTGTAACAACGCCCTCTACATTCTCAGGATCACCTTCACTGTATTGCATGCCTGTCACCAGAGTGTTATCTAGTTCACTACCCGAGATCTCGTCACCAGGTTCCCTAGTTGCTTCACTATACCCGGGGGGAGGGTCATCTTCAATCTCGGAAATCCCGTCCCCTGTCGAGTCTGACCAATTTCCAGACTGTTCAGTATTTGGACCAAATTTTCCCCCATTCAATCGTCTTGCATGAGTTGTCAAAGAAATGTTTCCCGGGGTCTTCACTTCGAGTAGACTCTGGCTCATGTGCCCCGAAATCATATGACCCCTTGACCTGCTCTGAAACCTGTGGTGTATCCTGACGTACACACCTGACCTCGCTCACACTATCACACGAAGAACCTATTTCACAAATCAAATCTGACTTTTTAGCTTCAACTGATTCCTCGTCATAACGAAGACTGACAGGGGAGTCCAAATTCATGTATTCCCCTGAGTCCAAATGCTGGGCATATGAAATGTACTTTGCTGGTATTATACCCTCCTCATTCCCTGAACACAAAATAAGTCCACTGGGAGCCCGGAAAAACTTGAAACCGTCCTGCTGAGCCTCCTTTATATCGACTTGAATGATTACTTCCCAATGCGATTTTAGACTATCTGGGACCTGGGTACTGAAATGAATGTGAACCCGGCCCATCCTATTTATTCCCATGCCAACTATATCCCGTCCCATCCTAACATACTGGTGCAGTGGTATGCTCTTGTTACCTCACCCTGCTTAATCAATACAAGGTCAGAATCATGTATGGGAATGGAGTGACCATGATTTGCCTTAATCTTTAGTCGACCTGTTTTATCATCTGTTGACAATCCAAACCTTTTATTGTCGTCCAATCTTACCACCCTACAAATATCTTCAACCGAGTACCCCTTTAGACCAGGTTGACAACTCAAGATTTCATCAACAAAAAGGTACCCTCCCGATTGGACCTCATAATTGTATTTATGGGCCCCATGTCTTAAGATATAGGCCAAAGTCTTTGACAAATGGCGATCCGCCTGACGAGGGGCAATGCCCGCTCCCTCACTCTCTGTTGAGGTTGAGTCAGATCCCACATTACCCCCTAGATTTCCTTCCTCCCTACTACTTTCTAAATCATCTCCCTCCCCTGTGATGTTTCTTTTAGCTTTTGGGGGCATACATGTAAGAAGCATTGGTTCCGGTAACCCCACGTCAGATAAAGGTTCAGTCCCACTATCAACAGTCTTGTATCTGGATGTTACATCCATGGCTGGAAC